ATGGCCAACAAGAATTGAGCCCTAGCACTAAAATGAGGGGGAAAAAAAGCAAAATATTTCTAGATATACTATTATTTTTAATCTTTTAAATTCTTAGGATAGGAAAACTTCCTGAAGATAAGTCTATTATTTTGTTTTGCCTTAAATGTTCAATGGGTGCCATCACTTTATTGAAAAGGATCTAGGATGAGACATGGTTAGTGATTCCGTAGCGATTTCACATTTTTATAAGTTTTTGAAGATCTGTGGGGAATATGCAGTAGACAGATGCTAAGAGTTGTAAACAATGAATAGGAGTATTTGGGTCTAAATGGTTGGTTGTTAAACATCCTTTATTCATCCTTTATTCATTTATATCTTTCCACATATGTAAATTATAAACTCTATGCAAGCAAACATTAAAGTTATTAAGTATTTCCTACTTTTAAATGCATTTAGTAATCCAAATCATTAAAATGTTCAGATTATCACATTGTTGTTTCTGTGAGAAATAACCAGCCCTTGTAAATAAACACATACTAGTATTATTCACTTGCTTATCTTCTCCAAAAATAAGAGCAAAAATAAAACAGCGATATTTTCCGTGTGCCTAGAATATATCTGTATTACTTCTAAGACTATTTATGCTTTACATATTCGAATAATCTGTTGGTATATTTAATTAGGCAAACAAAAACATCCAATGACATGATTTTTCAGAAAATTTTGTGAAAGCTCATTTTTACGACTCTAAGTGACATTACTAAACAATATTTGCAAGAAAGTGGTATTTTATAAAATTGCCTACACTGTTTCCTAACGTTCTTTAAACCAAACCCAAATCATCCTCAATCTTACCCTACTCTATAAAAGCCTACTTTAAAATAGTCTACATGTGTAATTATCACTGACAATACATTAGCATTATCCTCTCATTCTCTCCATTATTGTCCCTCACAGAAAGTAAGAGGACTGCACCTTCCAATTCATTGAATTACACTGAGAAAATTGTCCTCCCTAAAAAACCCCTGAAGATTAGCTCAGCAAATGTTTCTAAGTCAGAGCATCCTAGAAGGCTAGCATCTTAATTCAGTAAATGAATAATATTAACATTTCTATACTTTACTAAATATGAATCACTTTAGGGGGTCTCAGTAAACTAGTAGAGATTTAAAGGATAGTATGTCTATATGTGTGTATGTTTCTCTACTCCTGGGAAAAGAAAGATAAACAATTATCTAACCATTCCAATCAGTCTACTCAACAAAACTTGGCAAATCAGGCTCAACTCCCTTACTTAAATCTGGGGTAATTATCTTAACCCATTGAATGACCTCAACTTTCTACCCTTCTTTATCCATACACATGTATATGCATCCATTGGAGTGCGTGTATTCATCCTTTTTAACACTGGTAAAATAATGCATTAAGAGTATCTCATAGAAATAATCAATAGCTTACTAATTTAATCAATAGAGAAACCAATCCTGATAGTTTATTCTTTTTCTTTTCCTTCATAGTTAGAAGGGAGAGAAGACCTGAATTACCTAGATAATTAACTCAATTCTCAGACTTTGACTGGTTCTCTTCTTTTGAAAGATGCGGGTAGTTAAGAGGATGAAAAAAGGAAAATGGAAGTTTTGAAAGAGCGTTAAGTGTTTTCACTGTAGTTAATGTGTGTCATTGACAATGTCTAACCATTGAGGCTGGAGACCTTAAATTTCCCTGGGTGCCTCTCAAAACCTTACTAATTACCCTCACCCACCTGCTCATGGACGGATGGCAGAAAGAAGGGAGGGAAGGAAAAAATATGGTTAGTTTATTAAGTTGGAGCTTAAATTTAAGGGTAGTGAAAAGATAATTCACTATGAAAAATGGTTTGACAGAAAAATGTGTACTCCACCAATGTCCTCGCAGTTTTCTAAGAGCTTAGTTGGATATGAAACTTGAGATCTGTCAACATTTTATAGTTTCCCTGATTTAATAAGCATTTTCCCTTCTTTATTTAACTGCCAATTTTTTAAATGAAATTGAATCTTGGATCCCTACCTTCTGGGGCGTTTTATCTGCTAAATTGTACTTCTGTCTGCTTTTAGGCTACAGAATGCCAAGGTATCTCTCCTTACAAATCTTTCTACATGTGTAACTTGAGTTGACTAAAATAGTCCTTTATCCAGTTCATTAATGAAATCAACAGGACAAAAATTAGTTTATATTTCTGTAGTAAATGACTCTCCAATTTTTTGGATAAACACTGTGCATTTTAGAATATTATAAAGACTATGTCTCCTTACATTACATCACAGCATCAGACAGAAAACTTTTGAAAAGCCTAGTTTATTTTTGCAGTTGACCTTAAACCTCAACTTTTTAAAAAAAGTTTTTCTTTCCAAGCAATAGCCTTCTTTAAACACACACACACACACACACACACACACACACACACACTTTTGTGGTTTTTTTATCATTCTAACTTCAAACTTTGTAAGTGATTAAGAAACAAACTCAAAATATAGTTGCTTTAAACTAATTTTTATTTTTACAAGATCGTCACTAATATTTAAACATCACCAGTAAGTCATTAGTCTTTTACAACCGTCTCAAAAATAAATGAGCAAGAAATTATATGTGGGAATAAATATCATCATAAGCATTGTTTGTTTTACAGTAAAGAAATATACACTTACATAAACATAAAAATGCAAATATTTCTTAATATAAGTAAAAATGACTTTACGATATAAGAACGTTCTATTACAGTCTTCAGGAAAATTTCAAAACTTTACCACTTCCATGCATTCACCAAATAAGACAACTAACTACCTTTTTAAGTATAAAACTCATATCTTTTTCTTTGCATTTGCTCTATACAAGTGAGCATTTGGCCTCCTGCCAGTAAATGCCAATGTATTCATTTTAACTGTCTTATTTAAAAAAGAAAAAATATAATAATAAAAAGCCTTTGAAACCTCAAAGATTCAAAATATCATTTAACAGAAGCAAATAATGAACAAGGCATTTCATATTATTCAAATCATCTTAAGCACAAATATATGCTTCAAATTTGCTTTTATAATTTTAATTACCACTAGCCTACTGAATGTCTTAACAAATTTAGAAGCCTATAAAATTAACTACTTTAAAATGTTCTCTTTAGAGTAGCATGGAAAATAAAACTAATGTTCTTTTTTATTGCCTCAAGAATTTTTTTTCTAAAGCATTTTTCTTTTAAAAAGGCAAAGTATGTACCTGACATTAATTTTGCTACATGTTGGTATCTTAGATGTGTATTCTAGAGCATGCTAATCTTTTTGTTTTATGTAAAAAAGTTTAATCATTAACTTTTAATTGGAGTGTGCTTAAAATATTAATATTATGCATGGGTTATTTACGGATTTCTGTGGTGTCATCCAGCACAATTCTGATTCCAAAAGAATGTTTTCATTTTTCAGTCAAAATCCTTTATTAGTTCCTTACAATATTGGTAAAGCCCTTAAACTTGATGTTTGAAAATTTTTATAAAGATTTAGTCAAGCTTCTTAAGATTTTTATAAAATGTATTGTTAGTCCTAGAAGTTTGGTATATTACAAATGGGCATGTTATATGCAAATGTATTCACTTGGGGTATGTATATATTTTGTTATGCTATGTACATAAACATCTACCCTTGTGCATATGTATATTTACATCATGTGTAAATATGTATAGTATATTACCAAACTGTACTATACTTACAGAGAAGGAGGAGCTTCTAAAGATAAAATATTTTAGTTAGTTGTTAGAGCTGTTTATTATTAATTAGGTTTTGGTGGCTTAGGTTGTTTGGGTTTTTGGGGTTGGGGTTTTTTCCCTTTCTTCTCACAATCCCAAAGGTAGGATATTTATAGACCTAGTTTTTTGCTATTCTCCAAAAAGCTGATTTTATAATTTTATGTTAACAGATGCTTTAGATAATAAAAGTGATGCTCTTTGCTTCACCTTCCTCTCCTCTTAGGGAAGGCTATGGCAAGCAGTTTGATATTATGATTCAAAGAGTTTAACTTTCACTCTAAAAACAAAAGCTTAACTAGTTAAACCCTAACATTTTTCCATTAACAGTTTTATTAAAATGTAGCTGTCTACAAGTTACTATTTTAAAGTAATATATGTATATGTAAATTCTTATTTCTATATTATTTAAATTGTTTCAAGAAACTGGGTGGTGAGGATGTCTTGAGGTAACTACAGAGTAAAGAAAGCCTGCATTCTGGGAAAAGGATTTTATAAACAATAATGACTAATAGTAAAACCAATTAATATTAATAAATTCCACAAATTTTTAAATGTGTACCACAGGTTTTCTTAAAATCACTTAAAAAATGAGGACAGTGAAAAGTGGACAAATAAAAGCACTTGAGAAAGTTTCTTTTTAAAATCCTGTTATCTATTGTAATAAAAAATACAGTTTGGCAATTACGCTCCTCTTTTCAGTGACGGAGAGAAGTGTTGAGCGTTTTTCTGAATTCCCTCTGCCCTGTTTTCCCTAGGAGAGTTGAATTCACTTGATGGGACTGAAGAATAGAGGGAGTCCCAGCGTAATGTTTTGAAGAAACAAGAATTTCATTTGGCCCAAGTTTTCTTCTGCTTGTCTGCGTTTCTCTTTTCAACCAAGAAGTAATTGACAGCCCCTGTTTTGTACGAAATTATGGAAATCTCAAGCTGAAGGGAAAGGGGGAGTCATTACTTAAGAATCAAAAAGGTGTGGGTGTCTTTTACGTCCCAAAAAAATTCTCCCATAGCTGGAATGGAGCCAACAAGTTAGCAAGAGGTAGAGAAAGCCACATAAAACAGAACCAGAACTGGTCCGCCAAGCAGAAATCCAAAGTGATTTGTAATCGATTCCTACTTCGTTCTCATGCCTCCAAAAATTAAAATCAAAATTCATTCAGTAATCGTTTAAACCTAAGGCAGAGTAAGCAAATAAACAAATCCTGAAAAGTACTTTTCCTGTGGGTGCGACCCAGCCTAAGGAGCAGGCTGGATGGTGGAAATGCTGTGGGTGACATTTCTCAGCGATCATGGTACCTTTCAGCCTTACCCTCGCTCACGTGAGTCAGGGTGTCCATGAATATTCCTGGACCACAAGGGGGATCTCTTTGGGAATCAGTTGGGAAGAGGGCAGAAAGCAGGAGGCGCTTGTATAGAGAGCCAGGAAAATTAATGATAATAATAAGCAGCTCTACTGTTACAGATTTCGATCTCAAGGCTGAAAAGGTTAAGCCTGCACCAGCGCATCCTGTTAACACGCCAGTCCAGCCCTGCGCGGGCACTGCACGCATAGGTACACACGCCCTCACTCACTCACACCTAGGTACACACACACACTCACACTCTTCCAGGTCGCTCGACTCGCCAGACCGAAGGGGAAGCAGCCCCCTCCGAGGCGCGCTGGCCGCGAGATGAGGCTGCCAGCCCCCCTTGGCACCCGTGCCGTCCTCGGCGTCGCCGAGCTGCCGGAACTCTGCGGCTGGGGAAGCGGCAGTCGGTGGAAGACGCGCTGAGACACCGCACGGCCGCAGCCGGCGCAGGCCTCGGAAAGCCAGGCCGCGTCCTGCGCTCGGCGCGGGAGAAGGGGCGGGAGCAGAGCCGGGGGGAGGGGGGGCGGAGGGGTGACGCCGATGCCCTCCTCTTCCACCGCACCCCGGCTCTCCCCCTCTTCTCCTTAAGCTCTGCTGCTATCCCCGCCGCCGAAAGCTCCCGTTAGAAACAGCACGGAGCACCTGGAGGCGCCACAGTGTGGGAGCCCGGCCTCGGGGACGCGCGCGCGCTCGCCGATCGCGTGGACGTGGGCTGGGCGGAAGCGGCGGGAACCCCACGCCGTGCGGCCGCGGGAGGGGCTGCGTCACTGCAAGCAGC